GTATAATGTCTTGTGACGTCCACGGCCTACCCCAGTTACCACTACTGTGCATGTGTGTCAAGGACAGAAAGGCAGATGTGGCAGTAGAAGGTGTCAAAGCAGTTTGGAGAGAAAAACAAAGTAAAAAAACACACAAAAAAAAAGATTAATCGATTATTAAATTTGTCATCGATTATTTTAATAATCGATTAGCCGTCGATTAATCGTGGCAGCCCTGGATGTGGCAAGGGTACAACCTAACCCGCTTTTCAAAACACGAGTATTGCATTTCCTCTTTATCTCTCGTGTACTCGTCATCAAAATACTGTAATCCTAAAGAATCCATTCTAGAAGATTTTGTTTGTTCAGTCAGGAAACGTAAATCACCACAGCAGCCAAAACATTTATAAGAAACATTAAGACAAGACATGATCTCAAATTGAGCTGTACTACCTGTAGTTTTATTTTCATTAATCTATCAACACCATTTGATCAGTTGTTCTAAATGACAACTTTTTGCAACAATCAGTAAAACTTAGAAGTTGTTTAGACTAGATTATTAAAGTATATTTTATGGTTTGACTGCTTTGATAATCTCTCCTCAGTCAACTCAAAAAACCTTTTAAAATCCATTCAGTTATTGAGTGTCTGGATGTTTGCTTTGGATTTGAAACATTTACAACATTATGTTGTTTCACACAAATAAAGTACTCTGTCTACAAAACAAACCAACTGCTGGTGGAGTTAAAATCACTGTATAAGTATTTTTAAACGGTTCAGCTTGTTGCTGTTATTTCATGTCACTACAAGTAAATGAAGTAACATCTTATTTTTTATAGAATAATTTGTAGTATTATTACTAGATATTTAAAATGTGTTTAGTGGGATCATTAGAGAAGTAGCTGAAAGTAGCTTTTTTCAGTTTAAACATGCATTAATGTATTTCAGGGGTCTGCTGTCAGAGAAACCAGACGAGAGTTTGTTCTTTGTGGATCTTGGACAGCCAGAAAAACCTGAGCAGAAAGGTAAAGGTAAAAATTTATACATTTATTTAGTTCTGTATTTTTTCTGCTGGTTTGTTAATCTTGATGTTTTTGTTCCTCTTTGAAGAAGAAGAACCCGATGACGAGGGGAAGAAGAAAAAAGGGAAATCGTCACGTCCTCTGAGGATAGACCTGATCCTTCAGCACGACTCTCACATTCCACCTCCTAAAGAGTCAGTATTTAGTCTAACTTATTTTGGTCTTTGTGTAATCAATGCTCCAACCTTTATGAACTAATATCTACTTTAAAAGATGGACATCTCCTCATTCCAGCACATCACAGTTAATATATCATGTTAGTTTTACTGACTTCAGTAACGACGTGTGACAAACTAAACAATCTAATTCAAAAAACCTAAACTAAGAAAAATGAAACAAAACAATTATAACTCAACTCCTGACAAAGAAACAGGTGTTCAAACTAACAGGAACCTCTTTCTCTTCCTACTGTAATTAGTGCTCACTATTTACAAAGTACAGTTTTAGGCTCAGATTCAAAATTTATTTACAAATTTTAAACGATGAAATACACTGCCTGGTCAGAGTGTCCACCAGGATGTAAGTAAGCTCTATGATGTGGGGTTGGTGCAGTTGGTCAGGTAGGTTCAGCAACAGGTTGTGCTCAAAGGATGAGGTCAGCTACCTGATTATACTGAATGACCAGGTTATTCATCAATGCATTGTTTCTTCCCTGATGGCACGGCCGTATTCCAAGATGACAATATCAGGATTCATGGGGCTCTTATTGTGAAAGAGTGGTTCAGAGTCCATTGAGAATCTTTGGGATGTGCTGGAGAAGGTCAGACTCTACCATCATCAGTGAAAGATCTTGGTGAAAAATTAATGCAACACTGGATGGAAATAGATTTATAAAGGATTGCGTGGAAACCATACTAAAAGTGAACGTACGGCCAAAAGGTGAAAATGGCGTACGCCAAAAAAAATTCAGATTTATAAAACCGTGCGTACGCATGTTTCTGCGCACCTTCCTTTTATAGATCACAGCTTCACCTCAGAGTTTGTGCACGAGGTCCCGCCTCAGGTTCTACCCTCTACACGCCCACACTCAACCATAAACAGTCAATGTAAAGTACCTCATGAATGTTAAGATGTATTTAAATCAGTCAGCTGATCTATGTCAAAAGAAGTGATTGGCTCAGACACGCTCCGTCGTACTTCTGGAGGATGACAGAATGTCTGTATCTGACAGATTTTCCCTCATTTTGCAGTTTTACAGATGTTTAGAGTACCGTATTTTTTGGGCTATAAGCCGCACCCACCATTTTTTAAAAAACGCGCGAACATCAACTTATAAGCCGCACCCCACATCAGTAAAAAGAAAAACAGCCGCACCCCCCAACCCCCATCAGTAAGCGGTCCTCTTCAGTTTCGGAGTTAAACGAGCTGCGAAAACTGCATCACACAGTGGGATCTGTTCTGTGTTGCTTTTTTTTTTTTTGTCACTTCAGTAGAAAATGAAACCAAATATTAGCTTCTTTAGTTTATTTATTTCTTCATCATCAGTGAAAAAAAATAAATAAATAAAACTCTCGGGAAAAAAAGGCGAGAGTTCTGGAATTAAAACATAAAAAGCAAACCTTTAGAAATTACCGGTAAAGTTCAGAGGAATACAGTTAATTTAACTGACCTTATTTTGGTAGTTTTCTTTAACAGTTTCTGATCCAACAAAACGTCTCATTCATCGTCTTCCGGCGCACTGAAACCATCGAAGTCCTCTTCTTCAGTGTCGGAGTTAAACAAGCTGCGTCACACAGCGGTACCTGTTCAGTTTCTGTGTCGCTGTCCTCCCGGGCTGGTTCTGAAGCTGTGGTGTCCTCTTCACGTAGCAGTCCAGCCTTTCAGAACCCATTGGTGATGGTGGACTCATTCACTCTGCTCCACGCTGTTAGAATCCACTGGCAGACATCAGGAAATGTCGATCTTCGCATTCGGCCAGTTGATGTGAATGATTTATCCCCGTCAGTCAGCTGCTGGGAAAGCCCTCCCGCTCCAGCATACATCACTGCATGGGATTCCTTCCCCGGGGAGTGCAATGAGGGAAAAAAAGGTCAGTGGCTCTTCACTCGACTTCTATCCACAAACTGGTCCTGGATTAAGCTCCAAAGTTTTTRTCAGTCAGATTCCACCGTGAAAAATGTCTGTTTTATCCCCTTTTATGAGTTTTTGGCCATTGACTATCTTTAAATTGCTGCTTCCTGGTACAACAGTCGGCTCTGGAAGCGATCGCTTTTTTCTTTTTTTTTCTTCTTTTTTTGAAGCGAGTGGTTGAAGCAAATGGAGCATGAGAGCCCCCTGGTGGCTGAAGAAAAAAAATCCATGTATAAGCTGCACCGGACCATAAGCCGCATGGTTCAAAGTTCAGGAAAAAAGTCGCGGCTTATAGTCCGAAAAATACGGTAATCTAACGATTTTTATCAAAAACTCAGCTTAAAATATTTTTTTTCTGAGAGCCTGCAGGACGATAAAAACAATAAATAAAATTAAATAAGTCAGATAAACTTAAGAAATAATTTCACCACTCGTCTCCCCGTCCCCCCTCCTCTGTTATCTGTGGCAGACACCCCACCCCACCCCAACACACACACGCGCACGCACAACCCCGCAGTGCCCAATGCCAACTGAATGAAGCAATTTTCGTCATGACACTGCGACAATCTGAACCCATGTCGGCAGTTCGGAGGGAGTATGCAGGAAACTTCAGAGGTAAATCTTGTGACATGGCAGAAGCTTATCAAAACAATGCCACAGTGAATTTGTGCTATAATCAAAGCTAAAGGCGGTCTAACTAAATATTAGTGTGTGACCTATTTTTCTGGTGGTGACTTTTTTTTTTGGTCCAGGCGGTGTATTTCAAATAGCAAACAAAGAATATCCAAACTTGAACCAGAACTAGACAGCTGGCTCACTGTGGAGTGTTATCTGCAGGTCTATAAGGGTTCAGACCCTCATTGGTTCAAACAAGTCAAGATCACTGTCCTACCTTGTTAAACATGTAATCACACACGCTCAAACACACACACGTCCTGGGACAACTTTTTAAAATCAGACTGTGAGGAAGACGAAACACAACGTGCTGCTAACAGAAATAAAGCTTCATCAATGTGAAGGACTGTGTGTGTGTGTCCAGTGATGATCTCATCCTTGCGCTCCCAGTATTTCCTCTGGAGGAAATGTGAAGATGACACACAGGAGCTCAGGCAACTGTTGTGTGAACAAGGTCCTGGGATCTGAGGATGTGAAAACACACACATCCAGTAGCGCAGTGTGTGTTTATCTTCCATCCCCTCTGTTTTCTTGTTATGAACTTAACTATTTACTCTGTCTTCACCCCTCCAGTGTACTGGCAGGCCAGCAACGTAATGCCAAGAAACTGCGTCGCATCGCTCAGAAGGCCGAGCAGCTGGCAGCGAGAGGTGTGGTTCCACGGAGACAGAGACTGCTGCTGAACAGACGGCCCGTCGACAGGAGCGTGAAAAAGACCGTAGCAGAGGCCAACAACAACCCAGACAGAGATTATTACAACTTATGGGGACAAGAGTGTGAGTGATGGGTTGTTCTCCATCTGCTGATCATCCAGGTTTTCTTTCATGGGAATGTAAAACCCAGCGTGGAGCTCATCTGGAATCTGAGGAAGTATAGGCAGTGTGAGATTAGCAGATTATCGAGTTTAATCTGAAAGTGCTTCTGAACATTTGATGCAGTTTTTTTCACAAATGTTAAACTTTTATTTTATCAACCTTTTACAGCAGAGCCCTGTTGTATCTGTTATAGAACCAGTTATCTTTTTTCACAAACATGACTTTTTGGGATTGTTTTTAGCTAGTATGAAGCTGAAATTAGCTTAAGGTCATTATTAATTAGTTTGAGACCCTGTTATAGGACAGTTTACAGAAGCTGGTGGTCAGATTGTGCTGATGACTCAGGAGAGCAGAGCTTGATTTTATGTTTGGATCAGTTTTTAGTCCAGTTTCAGTCACCATCCAAGTCAGTTTTTCATTCAGCTGAATTGATTTGAAGATTTGTCCAGGGTTCCCACGGGTCCTTGAAATTCTTGAAAGTTTGAATTTGAAAAAAATATATATGGTATATATTTCAAGGCCCTGGAAAGTTTGTGTAAACAGCCAAAATTACACTTGTCCTTGGAAGTCGTTGAATGTTTTTTGGGGATTGAAATTCTCTATTCACGACCGATTTTCATCATCTTTTAAAAAAATAAATTATAAATAAAAAAAACTTAAATTTGTTGCAGTGGATAACTCAGGATTACGGTAAACTGACGTCATTGGGCCTCATGCAAGAACCGTTCGTACGC